TGGCCTGTTGACTCTTGAAGTGGCACTGATATATCAGTATTCTACTGGTGCCGTTTCACCACAGAACTATTAAAAGCTAGTAACATTTTTCCTAGTAAGGTGGAAAATGTGGCAAACTGCCAACGACCGAAGCCTTGAACTTCGTTATGTATGCGTCTGTTGCAGCCTGTTGTGGATAAGTTGAAAGCGGACTTCGAGTTACTGTCCCAAGGATGTGATGAGAAGAAGAAACTGGTGATGGGTGAGTTCCGTAGCCAAGTGCTTTATTTCATTGCTCTGCTATTCAGTGTTGTCCTTGAATGGCAGCCACTTGACACAATGGCAATGACAATGTTCCTTTTTGGGCACTGACCCAGAATTGTATGAACTATTAAGAGTCTTATAGCGTGCATCTATTTAGGCTAAGGATACTAAGTCTTGTATAGGGACAAAAGAGAATCAGTGATGCCTGAAGAATGAGTGTAAGGCTCCACTTCTCTTTGTATTAGCAAACCTGTAAACGCATACTGCGGAACATTCCTGATGTCTCTTTCATTCTGTTTTGGCGACTAGGTTCAATATACTACTGTGTGATGTTGGTGCCCTGATACTTGCCCCATAGGCCCTCCTTGCTACCACCCTGGCGGTTACCCCCCCCCCCCTCCCTACGTGCTATTGTGTGGTAGTCCTTACTGTAACTATCCAGTGCTAGCCAAAATGCTGGTCCGGCCTTGACTGGTTCTGCTAGGCCTGTTGCGCTGACTTGCATTGTGCTCCTCTTGTCTTGCTTCACTGGTTGCAGAACTCAAGAACAAGAAGGCCGGCTTATTGGACAAGATTGGCCGTGTCGACCGTGAACTCGAGAAGTCTCATCTGCCTCAGGTTAGTGCATGTAGTGTTATTGAGCCGCTGTAGGCATATTTAGTGACTGTGCTGCAACTTGCCAATGGTGGGTGTTATCCAGGCCATTGATACGTGAATCTTGCATGTGTGAGCTGTGCGAAAGGAGGAACATCTGCTCCGATGGCATTCGCTTGGCTCATGGGAATCTCGCTTTGAAGAGGTCATTGTAGGAATGGAGGGGGGGGGGGGGGCAGGGGAGTCCGATGTGAGTGTCTGCTCAGTCATGCACATGTCTGATAATGGTACATCGTTATCGTCATGGGGTGACTGAGTACCCTGGCCTGGTGTTCTTTGCTGGCAGTATAGCGACTATGGTGACTAACTGTTATGGTGAATAGTGGCGAGACAAGTGTCAGTAGGTGGTTGACACTTTCTAGGTGCCTTACTGTTTGACAGTCTTCTTGGTTTCTCTTAGTCTGCAACAGTTACCATCTAACCCGCTGTGTTGTTATTGTTGATGATCTTGCATCCAGGAACGTCTCCTAAATGAAATACAAATGGAAAGGTCAGCCGGAGCACACCAGCTGCGAGATCAAGCGTTGGAAACGGAAGATAAGGAACACCTGAAGAGCGTCCGTGAGGAGAATGCAAGGTATGACATCCATAATGAAAAGTAGAGGACCACCGTGACAGACCTGCACGTGCAGTATTCATGGTTGGGGTCAATCAATGCTCTCACAAGTGGTGAGTGAAAGCCATTCACTGCGGAAACAGAGTGGCATTAATTTTCAAAAGTTCTGACTGGTAAAAAACTAAAAATCTTATCAAGAGTCCATACTCGGGAGAATGAAATTGAAGACACCACTGCAGCAGTGAGAAGGAGAGCTCTGTGCCAGAACTTTGCAGCCTAGAGAGCGTGTGCGGGCAGGCGTGTGTTTACCGCCATATTGCCAGGTGTGTCTTTACCACCATATTTATCAACCAAGAGTCCATACTAGTACCGTATTTTCCGGAGTAGAAGTCGCACTTTAATTGATCACTCGTAATCCCCCCCCCCCCAAAGAACAAAAGGTGGTCTGTACTGCGATGGTCCAATGAACCATGAAATATACAGGGTAGATGTATGTATTTTGTGACAACAAAGTCTGGGTGTGGCTCATACTCCTGAACATACGGTAACCCTCAAGAGTGTGCAAACTGCCTGCACATGTACTGTCTCAATCCAGTGCAAACGAGGGCATAGTTTCACAGCACATGACAAGGGTCAATAGACAGGGTGAACAATGATGGAGTGTTTACAAAGTGTGTGCAAACATGTAGGACTAAATGCATGTTGAAGTGTTGTTTATTAGATCTTCTGAGCACCGAAAGTCAATTAACCGCACGCATATCATCTAGAAAATGTGTACAAATGACATCACTATGCTATTGTGCGTTGGGTCCATAGAGCGCACTTAAGGCAGCTTTTTTTTTAAACCGAAAATATTCGTGCTTCTTTCCGGTTACCAATTCAGATAGGTTCATGAAAACTCCACAGGCTGCATGGCTTTACGACGAACCTTGAAAGCCTGCCAAACTCAGGCGCAGCACACATCGCGGAGCATAGGCCTTCCCTTTCTTGATCAGATTTGTGCCTCGGCCACTGGGAGGTCTGGTTATTGGAAAACATCAGCAAGCCCTCTAGTGCAACAGTCTGGATATTGGGCTTCTCGCCAAGGTAGCGATCCAGCTTCCCAAAGTCACTCTCACAGATTGCGTTTGTCTTCCTCACAGATACAGTCTCAGCTTTGCAGGCTGGATGGCTGGTGAAATGTGCCACCAGGAAGGTTGTTGCATAGCAGTCAGGTAGAATACAATGCAAAGCCAGCAAACAGTACTTGCTGGATCTCGCATGTCAAGGCATCACTCTGATGTGGCTTGATCAACTTGTTGAGAACAACATCTGTGAGATTTTTGCTGCACTAGGAGACGGTCAAGCATTTCCTTGTAGAATGGGCGTCGAGCCTTGTGGCCGCTCCTCCATCTTCTTCATAAGCTCAGTGTAGATCAAACTCATGTCAAATATGGTCCAGTCTCTGTCCTCCATGACCGCCCACAGTGGTGCGATCACAAGCTTGCAAATGAGCCCAAGAGCTTTGCACCCAGAAATCAGCGCCTAAACACACAAGTCAGCTTTCACAGCCTTCAAAGTCCGGTTAGTCTCACACTGGACATCCCCAAGGACGGACACCACCACTTCATGTAGATATGCAATACCCGCTCTATTGAAGAAAATGACATAGTTTCCGTTGCCACGGAATTCAGAAAATGACATAGTTTCCGTTGCCACGGAATTCATAAAGCGAGGAATTCAGGTTCGAATTCGGAAGGAAAGATTTGAAATCTGTCATAAAACCAGCTGACTCATCTCCATGCTCCTCAAAAGCTTAGGTGGCCAAATAAACAAGGTGGTTGATGCAGCTATGACTTGGCTCAAATGCTCCATGAAAGTTAGTGGCACCGATCTTAGCACCTTCAAAATAAGCGTCTGCCCATTTTGTGTCAGGATTGCATTAGATTGGTGAGCTTGGCCAACTATAGTACTGGAAACCACAGAGAAAAATGAGTGCTGACACCTGCCTCTGTTGGTCTTCCGAGAGTTCAGTCCCGGACTGAGTCATGTTGCACACTGGGGAGTATTTCTGATCGGTACTACGGTCCGCCAAAAGATCAAACAATGCATCGGTCGCTCATTGTATTCTTGACATTTGCGAGGATGCGATCACCTGCACTGGTGCCCCCTTCAGCACATGTAACTGTCGACTTGGACTGCAGTGCCTCGCTCCATGTCCACCATTGCAAGACTGTAAACACACTGCTGGCTTGTACGAATCTGGAAAGCACCGGACGTGTTGCCATGGTTACTAGTACCGTTGCTGTGGAGTGTCGTATAATGGGATACTCAGCACTCTACTCTCTTGTAGTATACATAATTCCAAACTCATGCCTGTTTTGTGTATCAATTTATCCCCTACATGTGTCTCCTACTGATATTCTATGGACGTGATGGTGACCAAAGATTTGAAGAGGTGAGTAGCTGACATATTTTCAATTTTCTGGCAGGCAGTTACCAACGATATGCATTCCTCCGTCAAGATGAATGGTTGATTGCCTGATCTCCTGGGAGTTGGAGAATCTCACTGTCTTCACTCTTTGGCACTTCATACACTGCCACGACTCTATGGGCCAATGGCCAATACATCCTAGGTAATTTGTATTTTTAACTTTCTGTTCTTGACCTAGATAATGGGCTAGTATTCATCAGCACCGAAGGAACAGAAAGGGAAAAAGTATAAGGAATCACCATGACTCAAACCAGGGACCTTCGCTGGCCTGAAGGCCAGCGATCCACTGAGCTATGGGGTATAATGAGTTATGATGATCACCGGGTATTCTTGCATTTCAACTCGCCTTTTTTGTCATGTTTGCCCAGGCTATCAAGACCATGGATGATGAATGTGAACGAACACGTCGCAGGAGAGAAGAGAGCCAGACAGTAAAGCAGGAACTGCAGCAATCGCTAGCAACGTTGCAAGGTTTGTGTCCGCTAGTTAAAAGTGGTCATCGTAAAAGCGCCACCCCTCAAACACACACTGTTCACTCGGGAGGTGGCGGGCTAAAAATCATAGACAGCATGGAACATATTGGGTAGTTTGGGTGAAAATACGCTGAAGAAATTCACTATTCAGCACGCTTTGCCTTTCCTACTGTGCATTGTCCTTTCCGTATTCGCCGATAAGGTCCACTGTGTTTGGTTGCCGAGTATCCATACACTTCAAACTACTTGAACCGGGTACCCCGGTACCCCAGTACCCTGGTACTTGATTGTGGGTAGGGTTTGACTGGTTGCATGGTTTGACTGGTCAGTGCATGGTACTTGACTGGTTGCATGTAGACTAAGTACAAATCTCTTCTTGGTTGCCTTTGTGATGTTGTGTGTTGTTGCTTAGGCTCATTGGCATCTGGCTGGTCCAGAACGAAGGCTATGGAGCAGGTACGGGTCAGACTTCATAAACTTCTCACTAACCGCTCAGTGTTCCACTACTGGGACACCGATGTGACGTTATGTGTCCGATGCTTCAATTCTGACTGGCTCAGACACTGAGTGATGTGTGGGTGGGTGTGTTGGGGGGGGGGGGGGGGGGTATTCTCATGACTGCCATACAGAACTCATGAAAAGCCTGTTGAAACTTCACTTGGCAGATATGTAAGAGAGCATCTCACCCCGCTTAATGCACATTGTCATAAGTCTGTCAAGTTAGTACCAAATCAAGTCAACAGGAAAAGCACGAACTCCCACACACGGTGCGGAGCAATCGTCAATTCCTCAACTTGAGATATTGCCGAAGTCGCTACATCATGCTGTACTGTGATTGTTTGTGCACATGTACTGTCTGAATGCAATCACCATCAGTTCCTGTACGTGCAATGTCGTCTGTGCTGTACTGTCGTGTGTGCTGTGTATCGTGTGTGCTGTGTATCGTGTGTGCTGTGTATCGTGTGCTGTGTAATGTCGTGTGTGCTGTGTGCTGTGTATCGTGTGTGCTGTGTATCGTGTGCTGTGTAATGTCGTGTGTGCTGTGTGCTGTGTATCGTGTGTGCTGTGCAGGACTATGCCAGTGGAGATTGGCGTGTCCTTCAGAACATTGACGAGTTGATGGAAAAGCTTCATAAGCGACACTCAAGGTATGTCCACTGCAGATATCAGCGTTGTCTTAGGTGAAGTACCAATTCTGCCGGCAAAAAGCAACTTTACTGACCTTCCTGCTTTTTGCATTCAGATGCTTTTACCCTTCACATGTCCATGCGCTCTTGAAGCCGATCCTGAATCCTCAAACACAGTTTATACACATCCTCGATTGCTAAGTGAAGCCAATACGATAAAACAATGTCTGAGGTCCATTGCTTCATCAAGTTCATGTGATCCCAGACGTTAAGCATATCTGCTCATTGCTGTGTGTGTGTGTTTGTGTGTGTGTGTGTGTGTGTATATGTGTGTGCTCGTATGCATGTGTGTATGTGTGTATATCCGCCTGTCTGTCCATCCAACTCTGTGTGTGTGTGTGTGTGTGTGTATGCTGATGCGTATGCCCGTGCATGTGTTGGATTGAACGTTTCTGCATGCGCAACATCACAGCATCAAACAAATCGAAACCCAGCTGGAGTTGGAGCTAAAGCAGCTCGGTCGCGTGAAGGAATCTGTTCACCTATGATGGCAGTCCACACCCAAGCCTGCTACTGCTGTTGCTGTTGTTATGGCAAGCTGCTCACCAGACACGCAAAAATCATGTGACTGCCTACTCTTGTTACTTGAGATTAGTATAAGCCTCCTGTCGTAAGTACCTCCAGCCCAGATCACACAGCAGCAAGACGAACTAAGTACAGCTGCTGCAGCAGCTCTCCTGTCTTTCTGATCTTTTTCCGCTTGCAGACTTGAAAACACAATACACCCAGCAACAAGTAATTCTATTTTGACACGTAATGTTTTATTGAAGAGATTATCATCTGAGTAAAATGAGTACACACTAGAGAAAAGACATGCACATAGCACAACATGTATTCAGAAGCAGTTATTATTGAGAATGATGACAGTGGCTATGCTTATCTTGTCAAGAAAAATTATATCAAAACTTTTCGATTAAAAACAAAAAGCGAAAATCAACCGAGATTCACGGTGCAGCAGGTGTATGAGACAATGCCAGTCTGTACACAGTGTACGGTGAGCCGAATGCCCTGACCGGCATTTCCCCAGCATGGCCGGGAATGGTGGTGGTAGTGGTGGAGCCGGGCAGAGATGGTGATGGTCACGATAATGGACACCAGGGAGAATCTCGGCGAACAAAAGGCAGCGAATCACAAGGGCAGTGTGGCCTTGCTGCAGACCAGGCTTGGATTCGGGCTGCCAAACAGCGCAAGCACTATCTTTACAGCTAGCATGTGACTGCAGTTGCCTCAATTGGCCGGGTCAACGGACGATATAATTATTATTCCATGAAGTGTTTTACTCCGAGTTTCGTGCACTAAGCGATCATCAGAAAACAGTGTGTTTTCATCACCAGAAAACAGTGTGTTTTCATCATTAGAAAACAGTGTGTTTTCATCATCAGAAAACAGTGTGTTTTCTGATGATCGCTTAGTGCGTGAAACTCGAAGTGAAAAACACTTTTTTCATCCTCTTATTCTTGTTTGAACTAGCTCTGCCTTTCGGTATTGAGCATTCTATCGGACAGCCTGGAACCTCTCTGTTTTATTCCATGATACGTACACATACTGTGATATTGTCAATTCAATCCTTACTGCCACGGCTATGTACCAGTTTCTTCAAGTGGTTGGGCCAACGAACAGTATTATATTCCATGATACCGGGGCGTACACATAAACCAGTTTTTACTGTACTGCAAGATGGTCATCTCCACTAACGATCCGTACTGCCACAGCTATGCACCGTAATGCAAAGAGAAAAAGTAGATCATTGGAAGGAAAATGGGAAAGAGCAGAATTGAAGATATCTGCTGCTGCTCTTTTTGGATTAGGAGCAAACCAACACTGTACGTAGACCAGGTAACACCAAACACCCTGGCATGTGCACAAACACCCTGGCATGTGCACAAACACCCTGGCATGTGCACAAACACCCTGGCATGTGCACAAACACCCTGGCATGTGCACAAACACACATACACATACGCACAAACTAACACACACACACACGCACAGAGGAAAACTCATGTCATGACTTGGCAGACCTATCTTAGTTATCTTCAGCATACATGTAGTTGAAAAGCCACTTTGAAATTTGACTTCTATCCTTCTCATATGCACTGCAACTACTCGTGCACACAAGCACGGTGCACGGCACTACATATAGGGCTAGCTGGAATAGCTAGTAGTATTAGCATGGCACAAACATGCATACAAGTATTACATAACACAGATAAAGACAAGAGGCACGTAAACACAGTTGACGATCCAGAACCTTTGCTCGGAGAGCCTGAGATGACATACTCCATTGCCCCACTGCTCTCCACTCCAGCTGCTCTGGGGTATTTCATCTCACCTGCACCATATGGGACACGCACACACACACACACACACACACACACACACACACACACACACACACACACACACACACACACACACACATACAAAGCACAAAAGAATAGTACAAGGTTATGTATGCCATGATGTAGTAGTGCATTGGGTATTGAGAGCTTGACACATGAAGTGGCGAGTAACTTTCGTGACTGTAGTGTGCATGTGGACCAGTTTAATTAGTATTATTATAAAAGATTGCTCTCCATCTCCAATGACCAAATGGTACCGTTTACACATACAATTGTTTTCATTTTTGGTGTTGTTCTAAAAACTTCTAATCATTCGCCATGCCACTGTCAATTGTATTCTGTTTGCCCGTAAAAGAGACCATTACTTAGTATGGCATGAGTCTTCATGCAGTAAAAAAAACAAAACAAAAACAAAAAAACCTCCAATGACCGGCATGCAATGTTCAACAGATCACGAAAAGCAAAGTCATGCAGGTTGCCGGTCCTGACGAAAAGCCTCCAAGAAAGCACCACTCCCCGCTAGCCGCTGACAGTGTTTCGGGGAATTCACTCCTCATCAGTTGAGCTTGAGTAGGGCTAAACTAAAGCCTAAAGGCTAATGAAATTTATGCTCCGACTCCCGGCGAGAGCACTGCCGTGCGTCTGTAGTGCTCTCCAAGCCAAAAGTTGCAAAACATCAGTACTACACTAGCACTAGGTCTAGGGATACCAACCTAGTGACGCTCCGTTTCCTGCGCGACAAACATCTCGGGAGCATCAGGCAGCAGCTAGCGGGACTCCGGAGTCAGTGTCACACATGGAGTTGTGAATGCAGACGCTGAGGATCGTTGACCGTGCACAACGCTGACACATCGGATCCGATCATCTACAAGTTTTGGTCGCACGCCCGCGCGGGGAACAGAGAATCTGAGTCTTCATGATCTTTGGTTCTGGTTGCTTGCAGGGTGTTCCATAAAATACAAGGCACTGAATCGCACGGAAAGAGCTACTATAAAGACTTAGTATAAACTAATAGAAAACTTAGAAAATACTTAGAAAACCAACAAGATCAAAAAAAAAGAGAGCTGACTAATAAATAACTAAAGCAGAAGAGCGACTGTTTTCAACCACAACTGTCATCATGGCGCTCCAACATTTTGATCTGGAACTGGGAGAAAAGAAAACCCTTTGTTGAACGATATTGGCGATGAGAATGAGAAGAGGCTGAAACTTGTATTGCGGAGTCGCTCGCGAAGGAGATCTTGGACGAGCCGGATGAGCCTCAGACAAAGCGTGCAATGCTCAGGAACCTGCAGGAACCGCGCGATTTGCCGAGGTTTCCGATAAAGACCTGGGAAAAATCCGCAGGAACAGAATGCCCGATGCCCAGTCGACAATGATTATGTCCATGGCCACAACGAGAAAAAAGGCACCATGGACTACCAGAAAACAATCACACAACACAATGCATGTGCAGCATGTCATACTGGTGTGCATTGTATATCTTTGCAAATTTGGCTTGGGTGCATGCACACGGGAAACACGTTCCGGTCACTCAGAGTCATACTCGTAGATCTACTCGGTCAGTACCGCTGTTCATCCAGCCCTTGCCGCTATCAGTATCGCGGTGTGGGCTGGGTTCCGCGGTACTGCACTCGTGCAGGAACAGACGTGATTGTACTTTTTGGCTGCTCCAATCCGAGGCCCCGAGAGTCGCGCGTATATAGTCGAGGGGGATTCGAGGGAGACGAAAGAGACGCAAAAGATCTCGACGACAAGCCGAAGGTCCAAAGGTCGTCACCATGGTCACACAGCCTCCAGCATCCCTACGTGCAGTACAACTACAAGACCGATCCCAGTGCCAGTGCCAGTGCCAGTCGACTAGTCGTCATCAAGCAGCTGCACATGAACGGTAGGTCACAAAATCAGCCAATCAGCGTGCAGCTCGTGTTTTGAACTGTGCTAACAGCGCATGCTCGATAACGCCATCTTCCCAATCAATCTTCCTCCTTCTTTTCGTCTTCCTGCTTCTGGATGTAAGTAATGGCTGCTTGGTTCGTTTCGCTTTGTGGCTTCGCGTTGTTCCTCTTTTGTTTGTGTTGTCCCCTCTCAAAGCTGCTGTCAGTCTCGTGACGCACAATGAAGGTGTAGAGAACCAGCCATGCCTTATCAGACGCCTGGATAGCGAGCAGTCCGTTCCTCCAACAAACACGAAACGTAAGGTCGTTTTCAAAAAAATGTGCTCTGCTTGAGCCCGAATTGTCGTAGGAAAGTGACAGCGAAGGAAGTGTAATTCCAAACCCATCTCTAGCATGAACTCAGGACTATTATTTTTTGTCTTGTCGCCTGGATTTCTTGTGATTGAAATGCTCGGTAATGAGGTTGTGTCCTTTGCCAGATAAAGGTAGTTTCGTGTTTGCTAATTGCTTGTAACAGTTAGACCTGCTTAGCATGTCTTGCCGATTCTGTACATGAGACCAGGTAGTGAGGGATCCTCTGCAGGACAATTAGGAGACTGCTTTCTTTCATTTCTGCAAGTTTCTGCTTCAGCTTCCGGATCTGGCACAAAGTTAGTTACTTCCCGGCAAGATTCGTGCTCGACGGCCTTGAACATTCTCTGCTGGCCATATTATAAGCTCATTATAAACAGCATATTTGCCTGCACAAGTCGCTTCACGAGTATATAAATCAATGATCATTTTCACTGTTAGGAGATCCCACCGATAGGCTATGCCTTTGGGAAATTAAATAATAATAAAAAAATTAAAGGGGAAGTTAAGGCAAAAATTAAAATTTCACCAGTTGTAGTCTTCGGTGTGCTGAGTCGAATGGTCTTGGTCCGAGGAAGCTGAGACGCTCCCTTCCTACTTGAATCCCAATCGAACTCGCGCATTTCCACCGAAACTGGGTGACTGCGCCCTACTAGATGGGGATTTGTATGCAAAATGTCACTAAAAGCGCCATTTCGTTCTTATAAAAGCACGGATGACCGCGATTGGCCCATATGTTGTAGTCTTTTGGACGCTGAGTCGACTGGTTTTGGTCCGAAAAGGCTGCGATGCAGCGTTCCTCCTTTAATCCCAATCGAACATGGTTGAAGAAGCGGTCACGTGGTCCTGGGGGCCCGAATCACCTGGTCACCACGCCAGCAGGTGACAACTTTCACACCAAGGTTCAACTCGAGTTCAACTCAAGTGACAGGACTGCACCCAAAAAAGGTCAAACAGGCTAGTAAGTTGTACCCTGCAGGCACGGTGACCAGGTGACTGGTGTACGCAGGAGCACGTGACCGCTTCTTCAACCATGTTCGATTGGGAATAAAGGAGGAACGCCGCATCGCAGCCTTTTCGGACCAAAACCAGTCGACTCAGCGTCCAAAAGACTACAACATATGGGCCAATGGCGGTCATCCGTGCTTTTATAAGAACGAAATGGCGCTTTTAGTGACATTTTGCATACAAATCCCCATCTAGTAGGGCGCAGTCACCCAGTTTCGGTGGAAGTGCGCGAGTTCGATTGGGATTCAAGTAGGAAGGGAGCGTCTCAGCTTCCTCGGACCACGACCATTCGACTCAGCACCCCGAAGACTACAACTGGTGAAATTTTAATTTTTGCC